TACTCCGCCGCAGCCTCGGATGGAGCGCCTTCGAGAGATTCCGGACCCGCTTTGAGCGAGTGAGTGGGTACCGGAGTGCAGCGAGATTCGTTGAGGTCTCGCCACTGTAGGGCCACCCGGTTGAGCTCGCCGAATAGGTTATATGACGTGGGCATACATGTGTCAGGGGAAATATTCATTTTTAATCTTCATCAGCCGTACGAAACGCCCTTCAATTCCGAGTGGTATGGCGGCAAGTTTTTCCAAACCCTGGCGAATTCCAATGTTGGTGGCACCCAACCATCGTAGCAGCACAAAGTCCAAGAAGGTACGGGCGACCACATGTAGGGAGGATATCCTTCTCGAGTTACTTGATGTAACCGCCAGCGCTCACCTTCAGTCGGGGTCTACAAAGAAAATATCGGTCTTCCCATTCCAGGTACGGCCGGTCCACACCATCAACCCGCGCCTTGGTGAATGGGGTGAAGATGATGTCCTGGACCGTAGCGACGTTGCCGGAGCTGCTCGATGTTGGAGGTCTTGCAGATCAAGAGTACTGGTCTCCAGGTAGCTATCCATGGGTGATTCCATTCAAGAAGTTCCGCAGCTGTTTGGAGGCCACGTGAATTCCAAAGGCGTTCTCCACTCAGGCCGCGACTGGAGATGACTTCATATTTTGGTGTACATGAAGGTGAATGGCGCAGCAGCTCTTGTATATACAAAGCATTGGATTAGAGTATGTTGACGGTATTTATTTCGCTGGCCTGTAGTCTTTAAATACACTCCTCGTGATAACTAGGCAAGGGCTGGGTCGGAAAGATGTGGGTCGCTCATGTATCCGGTACGGCCCCCGAATGATTTTTTCAAATTTTTGGCCCCCGCCCCCCTGTTTTCACAAGGCTGAAAGGTCTGTTCGAAGTATGCAGGCAGTGATCGCGAAACCAGCAAAATGCCCTCACAGCGAATTGCCCCAAAATGCTTCTCCCCCTGTTTACGTGCGCTTGAGGCGTTCAATGCCAAGAAGTAGATGTTGATAATGGCAACAAAGGACATGGTTTTGAACAGTGCCTCTATGGTAATTGTTTTGCTGTATCTTCTCTAAAACTTCCCAAAATAGTATGTCATTGACGATCTGCTGATTCATGTTGCATGGCCCTCATTTGCGGAGTGTGGTGCGTATTTATTTTTTTATTATTGTTTCGGAATAGTAGTCTTTTGTGATGCTTAGTCGTTTTCGCCCAACATTTCTCCCAGGGGTAGTTAGCGCAGGGCTATCATTGGCTGCGGCCCCTTGTGCATGCTTGGTACGGGTAACACGGTCCAGCTCCTGCTGCCCGCAAACAAAATATTCGAGTTTGATGGTTCAGCGGTCATCCTAAAACAGTTAGTCTTTTCATGTCGGCATTTGGTGATTCAGGCGCTTATGGTCTATCGCAAAGCCCTTTCACGTCGAACTGATGTGGAGTGCTGTTATTGTTCCGGAGGAGGGGAGGGGAGGTCATAGTCACTCTGTCAGGAACAATCTTCGCTGTAACAAATGTGCCCGGCGAACTATTTCAGTAGGATACCCTGATGAAGTCCGAGGAGAGGGATCACACAAGGTAATAGTTCCAGTTTCCGTTATCAAAGGCATAAGGCACCCTACTTTGGTCTGCAGGTCTAGACAATTTCGGTAAGGAGTGCTCATATAGTGCGAGAAGTCGACCAAAGCCGAATGCGAAGACGGGTTCAAAAAGTCTTCGCTCCACGCAGTACTCGAGAAGAGACACGTGGACGGTGTGTCCCTGTTGGCTGGTGCTTTGGTCACGCGCAGGTAGATACGTCCACATGCTAGTAGCTGTGATCTCATCATATCACTTGCGTGCACCGCAGGAGCCGTAGTTGCATCATGGATTGCTCATACCTTGTGACTCGGCCAAATGAAGCAATACAAAGCGCCATCGGAGCGCATATAAGGGTACCTATTCTTGATAGGGCGCCCACGCGCCCGCTCGAAGACGAAGACACCAGTCGAGTCTGTTTGTGTTAATTAGTCGTAGGGTATTAATCTTAAGCGTCTTGGGTAGATCTCGTGCCTTTTTTTGAGGATCGAGGACATTTATACTCCTTATCCCTGAGACGGGGTAGGCGTGGCGTTCGAACGAAGCACAGAACTGGTTGCTCGTGGGATATTTCAGTTTGAGACAACCGCCATCTTGTTCTTTGTTGGACAGAGACGTGACCACATTTGGGTCAAAATGAAAATATCTCTCCAAAAGCATAGCCACCACGACGTTTAGTTGAAGTACGCGCCACGCCTACCTCATCTCAGGGATTTCGAGTGTGTAACACTGTAACACTACTTGACCAATTTTAGCATGCCAAACGGCGCAGTTTGCCGACGGGGAGGGGACATTTTGCACTTTCGTTGCTTCACTAGTTCTGGTTTACAAGTCTCACTCTGGTGAAACCTGTGAACTCTTGTGAAGCTGGAGCAAGCTCGTCAAGCCATCATGGTAAAACCTGTCAACTCGAGAAGAGGCTGTCTAGATGGGTCGACACGTCGATGGGAAGTCGTTAAAGTGCAAAATGCCTCCCCCCCCGTCGCCAAACAGTGCCTGCAAACATCTATGTCACTGAAGAACCTCTACCTTACTTCATCGGTCATCGATATTAGTTGACATGTTACATCGACATGTTACAAAATGTGTTACCAGATTCCTCCTTCTAAACTTGAGTCCATCAGCTCGAAAATTCTGGGCATAAGCTTCAAAGTACGATGCAGTCTTCAGGCTGGAAATTTTAAGCAGTAATTCTCGAGGATCTCGTGTTCGATCTGACCTTGAGCTAACAACCATCTTTGACATAACGCTTGAAATGCCGCGCATGCAATGAATGCGCCAAGATACGCACATCCGACTGAGCCGAGGCTGGGTGAGCTGCGGAGAGCTCTTGGATAGTTTTTTGATTTCAGGTGGAGTACCATCAGCTCGAAAGGAGGTCATACGACACAAGATCCGAGCTATAGGAAAAATGGCGCGCGCCTTCTCCGTACTCAGGTACCGTATTTGCATTATTCGATGGATTTTTTTGCCATGTTTTTTCTTAATTTTTGAACTTTTCTCCGTTATTATTTATCTAAAATACGTTCGCTATAAATTAATCTTTTGTGTTTTTAACAGTTCTTATAACTTGAGGGCTTGATGTTGAAGATGTGCTAAGTTCTATTCCACTGATAACCCTCTGGAGGAATGTCTTACGACTGCTTAAAGCTGTCAGTGTGTTTTTGTAGTTTGTAGCATAGAGGCAGGAATCCCGTGCTCCATTCCGTCCTTGGTGTTCGCCTCCTTCCGTTTTCCCTGCTACAGACTCGGCTTCGGCATGAGTTCAGAGCTTTCTGCTTATGCAACGAGCTTTTGTTTTCTAAGACAGCTTTAAACTAGTCCAGAAAAATAATAAAGCGAGAAGATCGAGGTGGTCCAAGCAGGGAATATCATCGTTACGGGTCCACAGTAGGGAGTGGTATTTGGTTGCTGGGGAGGGAGGTTGGGTTAGTGCCAGCAGTAATTTTTTCGTCAAGAGATTTCCTATTGCTGATTTTCCCCCCCCCACTAACCAAATTGTTCTCGACAGCAAGGCATAAGGAATAACTGCTACTCCTCACAGTTCATTGGAGAAGTCCTCCACCCCACCCATCTCCTAGCTCTCCCTCCTTAATATCGATGGCGCATTTTCGGGAAAATGGATTTCGGTTTTGGTGTTAAGTGGGTGAGTTTCGAAGGAGATTGTCCCAAGGCAAAATTGGGGGAGAATCTTGTTTCGCTAATTTTTTTCACACAATGAGATGATGTGGGGGTCGCAGGGGTGGGGAGGGCGCGTTTAGCATGAGAAAAGAATTTTCGATAGTTGATTTCTTCCATTTCACTGTGCAGTGTACCCCCCCCCTTCCATGCTCCTGCTTGATGGGTGGTAAAATTTTGAAGAGAAATGGAAGATGCTTTTTCGGGAAACCATAAGTGGTGGGAAAAATTGTGCAGTAAGGTCGCATCTCCCGATTTTTCCCCAGCATCAGGAACTTCTTCAATCATTATAGAACCCGACGAACGGCAGAATGGTGCAGAATGGTGGCACTGCAAGTGGTGCCACCATTCTGCACCATTCTGTACCCCATTTGCCGTTCGACGGGTTTTTCGAGCTGTTTGTCCTTGCGTGAAATGGGGGGAGGGGTCTTGTCGTAGGAGAAGATGGAGGTCGTATCGATCAGTAGTGTTCCTTAGCCCTCCTGGTATGTCCTTTTGACCAGAAAACAAGACAATCGTAATATGCCGCGCTGGTGGGCGTGTCCAGCGGCGCCGCCAGACGAGTTGCCCTGTCTGGGCGTTTGGATGCGAATGTTGGGATGAGTAAATTCGACACTGCACGTCGCTGCTACAATCAGCAAGTGCTGCACATTGAGAATTTGCCGCGCATAGCCGCACGATACGCCGCGGGCGACGACGCAACAAATCACGATTGTCTTGATTTCGCGCTACGGTTCCCGAAACGCCCATTACTCGAGCCGCCCAATCCTCCCTTGGACTTGTGCCGTTCACAGCTCCCCTCGCAAAAGGACATACCACCGGGATGTGGAACACTGCTGATCAATACCACCCCATCTTCTCCTACGACAAGACCCCTCCACGCGCACAACAAACAGCCCGAAAATCCCGTCGAATGGCAAATGGAGTACAGAATGGTGACACCACTTGCAGTGTGGATTCTATAATGATTAAAAAAGTTCCTGCCGCTGGGGAAAAATAGGGGAATGCGACCTTACTCCACAATTTTCTTCGACTGCATCACCCCCACCTCACTCCCAGAAAAGCACCAGAAAGATGATTTGGTGGAACCCAGGAGGAATAGGACTCTCAGTTTGCCCTGTTCTATGTTCTAACCGTCTATCGAGTTATTCTCGCTTTGCAAGTGCTTCTACAATAATCATTTTTTGTGTGGCAATGAATTTAACAACAAAACAGTAAGTTTGTGTGCCGAGTGTGAAGCGCATGTGTTTTATGTCTGTTTTCAGAGAGGAAAGCGAGACGGTGTTGGCGCTTAAAGGTCTGACGCCAACCGGAACGCTACCGTTGGGCATACTGCATGAGGGTAGACGTGGAGTACAAGAGGGTAGGTGCAATAGCTTTGTCGCGCTATTGATTCATGTTCGACTGAGATGGCTTCCACTTATCCAAAGGACCGAATCGAGATGGAAACATCTTATTGTGGCGTTTGTCGTCCTCCTTAGTAGCCTTCTAACCCGATGTGAATTCGTTAATTTTTTTGAGATGTGATGCGCCTGTCTGCTCTGGTGTGATACAACAACTATACACTGTTTTGCACGGTGTTTTTTTACTATTAACCCAACCAAATTATCCTCTCTCGAGTAAATTACATTCGTTCAATTTTGAAAGTAGTTGGTAGCAAAGAGCGATGAAATCTTTGAATTCGCATTTAAAGACACGAGAGCGAGACGGTGCTGCAGCTCAAAGGCCTAAATCCAGGAGGCAAACTGCCACAAGGTATTCTGTCCGGAGGAAAGTCGGCACTCGTCGAATGTAGGTTATCGTATTCAATCAATTACGATCAACACTAGTATTACACAAACACTCTAATCGAACTATCAATTCTTTTGAGATTTATCTTCATAAATCTCTCAGGATTAAATAGTGCACATTCTGGCAGTCTCTTCGGATATTCTGGAATTTTAGGGCCTGCGTTGTAGAAATAATCCATGTGTATAGGATATATTCGAATGAGCCAAAGATAAGAATCCTTCGAGCTACGTTTTTAGTTCGCGTGTGACGATGGATTATCGAAATCTGCTATACAATAGGGATTGCTGTTGCGGATGTCTTACGGTCTCTGCCTGCATTTCCCTACAAGGCTAAGTCAACCGCCACATTGTTTCTGGTGTTAAATTCCCGCGACCTAAGTTCTATAACTCTGAGATGTGAAAAAACTCCGATTTCAATAGTGTTCAGCTACTTTTCAGGCAGCTGTATAGATGGGAAACGCGAAGAGAAAATTGCCCAAAATTTTTTCTTTTAAAGTCAGTGGGCACGGTGCTGGAGGCGGGCGCTTGTTGCAGAGTCATTGGTGGAAGACCTGCAAGAGGGCGTTTGACCACACGCTACATAGCCCCCCACCAATGACTTGGGCAATAACCGCCTGCCCAAGCCATCAGGCCCCTGTCTTTAAGATTTAGCCCATCATTAAAGCTTAGCGAAGATTTAGGGTTGGAAAGCTATAAACGCTAAACCAGTCGTCGGTGTTAAGTGGTCACTTATGAGACTGCTTCTGACTTTAGCTCCCTCCTTACCGATCGCTTATTGTTCTCCTTTTCCAACTGAGCACAGGTTAACAGCCCAGAAGCCGAGTGCGGGCGAAAAAAAAAAAAAAAAAAAAAAAAAATTCTTGAAAGTGACGGCCTCGGTGGACAACACTCAGAAAAAACTCTTGTTGACTTCGACGCGAAAATTTATAGTAATGGAGACGGCAGCCATCTTGGGAGCATATCATTGCGCGCCGCGCTGGTTCTGTGTCACCACAATCCCTGTCCACAGTATCTTTCTGCGATACAGTTTCTTAGCCCACCTTCAGCGACAACTACGAAGAGCGGTTGAAACTTATAGTGTAGTTCGCTGCGGACGGTTGGGCGTGTCAGGCGGGATGAATTTCGCGCGGTGCCAAACCCCTTCTCAAGCAATTGTCAAAGCGAGCAAATGACATGACTGTTTCATATCATTTCGAATTACTCCTTTTCTACCACTTTTTGTGCGCGCTTCAACAGAAGGCAGAGAACGGCTTTGACGGGGTGACACACTCATACTGCCTGACACGCCCAACCGTCCGCAGCGAACTAAAGTGTAGATAGAATGGTTATTGCTTTCAGTATTTCTCCTGTTACCTTCGAAATCCTGAATTGAAATCTCTTTCCAGCACTCACAGGTGTACAGCCAGGACATCTTACCATCGTATTGCGAGCGAGAGGCTCGACCAGATGAACGAGCGTATGCCTCCGTCCATGGCGACACCTGGACAATCGCCGACGTCTTCGCCACAACCACGTGCGCGTAACGGACCCGATGCATAAGCGCTTCGCCGACAGATGGTCGACGTGCTCTCATCGCCTTGTCATGCCATACACACACCACATGAGTACTCATCTCTTCCTATCTCTCTTTCTGTCCATCTGTCCCTCATAACCGCTGCGTCTCCTCTCCCCTCTTCTTTTATTTCTCCATTTCTCGTCGTTGGTGACATATCTACATATCGAACTAGTCCACAGTGTGCGCATGAGATTTTCGCTTTGTCTAGTCCTATGGATTTTTTCAATTTAAAATAATTTGCAACACTGCAACACGAGTATTTTCTGTAGAATTAAAGGAGCACAAAGTGGGCGGCGCGAGGATCGGATTCTGAGCACGGGTTGAAATGCGAACGATCTGCTGATTTCTTTCTGTATTGGTGCACCTCTGACAGCTTTCAGAGCGCTAGGGAAGGCCCATTCTATAGAAATAAAGCATATCTAGGAAACCGTGCAAGATCCGAACCTTGCGGTGCTAACGCGACATTCTCGTGAATTATGTACCCCTTCTATCTAGTCCGCGGTTATGTTTCCGTCCTTCCTATCGACAGCGATCGCGTTTAGACTCGCCCTTGAACTCAGGATGCTCTCGCACTTCACACTGCCTCAATAGCACATGTGCTTCGAAATGAGTATTGATTTTACGCGCATGTAATCAATATCCATGTTTCACATACATGCGCTATCGAAGTGGTCAGTAAATGCGAAAGTAGCCAGTAGTATGTCCAAAGTGAAGGAAATTTTCGAATTTGTTATTAGTGAATTTGAAAAAAAAATTGAGGAACGTTGTGCACAGGAAGGTTCAGCTGCTATAAATGCTACATTCTAGCCGTAATTATGTTCATGAGGATCCACGTCTAGCTTATATATGGGGATTTGACATTTGACGCGTTGTTTGTTTTCATTAATGTTAATCTTTCCGGTGTATAAGGTGTTTTGTTTTATTGTTAAGGCTTGGTGTGGAGTGCTTTTCGTTCCTTTTTCTCTCTCTCTCACCCACTCGATGTTGTACACTACATGTTTCAGATGTGAGATGGGCAATAGATCCCCCAAATGCGCTAACACTAACATCACCCTCCATAGCCTCACTATGTAGTAAAGTTGTAACGGTTATTATAACCAGCCAGGAGAGATTTCCGGGAGGAATCTGAGCTACCCAACTGCATCCTCGCTGAGATAATTTGACGCTGATCCTGTTGATAAATGCCCTGTTAGGTTAAGAGATTCAGTTTGATCCCAGTCTGTGTCATTTTTCTATGGGCACCCCCTTAGATGTATGATTTTTTGGGGCAGGTTCGGCGGCAGGGGGGGGGCTTGCACTTTTGCTACTGCACATTGACGTGTCGAGCCATCTGGACTGCTATTTCATGAGCTTACAAGAGTTGACAGGTTTTACCATGGTAGCTGGACGAGCTTGCTCCAGCTCCGCAAATGTTCGCAGGTTTCAGACTTGTGAACCGGAAGTAGTGGAGCATTAAAATTGCAAAGTACCCCGTCCCCCTTCGCCTCCGCCGATTTTCTGCCTTTATTTGGTCGGTTCAAAAATAGTGCGAATCAAGGGGTACCTGTAGAAAATTGGCAGTAGATATGTGCAAACGCGGTCGCAGGCCAAGTCATGGCCGCAGTGGGTGGGATTCAGGCGCGCGGTCGCGAAACGACCAGTTTATCCACATTTTGCCCGTGTTTGAGTTCAAATCCCACGTGAACGCAGATCTCTATGTCAGATACTGCACCGTGGTGTCATATTCCGTGGCTGTGAATGGATGCATGGCTTAACCGTGCATGCGCGCATTTCGTACCATGTGCGTTCCCCAGCTTGACTCTGTTTCCGCCACGGCTATTGTGTATGTATGACCGTTGTTGTAGTAATTGATATCACATACAGCTTCGGCTTTATTTCATCTATCCCTTCATTCATTCATTCATTCACCCATACACAGTCATCCTTCCATCCATTCATTCATTCAGTACCAACCTTTCTGTCCACCCCCCCCTCCCATATGCAACACCTTTCCGTGCATTGCTCATTGTGTTCTTCGAATAGTTCATCATCAGTTCTGGTCCCACTCTCATCTCATCCCAATCATCCCCTTCTGGTCAAAACAATCGCGCACCATACTCTACACGACCATCCGTGCAACAACACCATGACGACAAATCCCCCTTCGTTCAATGACTTTTAAGATATTATTTATGTCCTCAAGTTTTTTTTTGTTATATGCGTTTTTCATTTGTAATTCTGTGTTGCAGAAGTCTTATTTATATAAAAATATTCCTTTGTAAAGTATGTTGGTGTAGAAATGAAATCAGATTAATCAGGAGACATCGTAGCAATGTTCTCTGATGACAAATTCTAAGACTGTTTCTCTCACCGCAGTGCGTATGAAGCAGACGGAGAAGCGTAGTAAGGTACTTGTTTAGTCGATTTTTCGACAATGTTTTATTCGTGGAGCTTTGAACCAGACTAACAAACCTTGTGCTCTCATATACGCATGACGATTTAAGTTAGACTTGGTGATCATTATGTAAATTAAAGGAAGAACTCGCGACTACTCTCCATTTCAGATGGTGGATTGGGGACTCCATATATGATGACAAGGGGTTGCAGTAATTAGACTGTGAAAAAACGAGAACAAAGAACATGCCCATGCTTTAGAATAGGACCCATTTCGATCCAGTTTTACGTGGCCAATCAGTTATCTCCAAAACTACGCCCTCATATGCACGGCTGATTCACCGATAAGATTTCTACGATCGTACAAGTGGCGATTATCATGCTTTTTCGTCCTGCAATCTCATTTTTCACTGGAAGTCGGTCATTAGGGGCGGAGTCTGGAGGCGGAGTCACTGGAAAAAAGGAGGAGCCACGAGCCTACATCGGCTACTGCGCCCCCTCCATGAGAATTTTTGACCGCGAAAACCGGGTAACATAGGTTGTTGGTCGCGACGACACTCTTACTCCTGACGCCATATTTTCAACTTCGATACCTGATCGCGCGACCGTGCCTTCAAGGCTCAGGCCAAAACGCCTATAAGATGAATAAGCGAAGAAAAGGTTATTACACAGGAGTGGTGGCAAAAATGAGAATGCTATGTGAAATTTTACGTGAAATTCATACGGAAAATTATCGGTGAGATGAGCTGCCGGGGTCTACGTTTGTTCCTTGGCTGGAAAAGTGCTTGAGAAAAAACAATTTACGATGTTAGTGGTTAGCGATATGAATATTGTAACGATACATGGACTAAAAAGTTCCAAGAAAACCGAAAAAGGTTAAATTTTCCGTAGTCGATGATGTCCATTCCATAGTGTGCCAAACGTTGTCAGGTGGAATCGCGCTGATGTCGCTGTTGATTCCAATCTCCCTCTGAAGCTCTGAGTTTCTACGTATTCCTAAGGGTGCAGCGTATTTTCAAATGAGGCGGGCTGTGTTGGACAGGAGGAGGAGCATCGGTTGGTAGTCTGGCCTACGTCGACGGGCCTCTTGCGTCCCGCGTCCTTGACAGGCTCGAAGCGCTGCCTGTGAGGGTGGCCGACAAGTTACACGAGTATTGAGTGAGGTGCGAGTGTGTTCAGTTCAATGTCAAATGAAATTCTTTTAATATTGTGAATAAAGTTAAATAGCATGGAAGATGCTGGCGGCATTTTTGTGCAACGCATTCGAACCTTGAACAAAAACCTTTCAATGACCGCGTGGTTAGGAAAATGATGGTTGTCTGAGCTGAGTAAGGGCCCTCTGGCTTGCGACTAAAATGAGTTTACGAGGCCGAAGCCTACTTACAGGCCTCGAATCCGCATCCACGTGAATTTTTGAACGAGCGATGGATGCCTTGAGGTGACTGAACGCCCCGCCTCCGCCCAAACCAGAACGGCAGGCCACCGAGAATTCATACACACCTGTTCCTTGAACAAGAAACAGTTGATCCAGTATTCGACAAGTGTAAAGATTGTATTACTTTCGACCAACCGGAAGGTTGTGTATTAGGTTGTCCGAAGTTTCTCGCGTTTTTGTTACTGATATTTTGTACTATTCATTGCCTAGCTACTTAAAAATCGTTCTCCCTTTACGTGCTCAGTAGTACATCCTGAGAGATGATATTTTTCCGATCTGATGTATAGTTGCCGTTCCACCCTGCCTGATAAACCTCCTCTTCCCAGGACTTTTTGAAGCATGTCAAAAGAGCAATTTTGGACGATGTTTTTTTTTTCATTACAAATTTGGGCGTCACTGCAGTCGAGACCAGGTGTTGGGGCCCAATAGTGTTGGAGAAAGCACCGTGCGACAATGGTTCGACAAATTTCGTAGATTTCAGCCTTGAAGATGAACCTCGTAGCGGTCGACCTAAAGCAACCTGCGAGGATTGAGGCGCTTGTGGAGGTGACCATCCAAACAGTTCGAAGGAGGTTGCGCAGGGAAGCTAGGCGTTTGGCAGAATCCACTGTTGCGGATGGTCTGAAAAGCACTTGGGAAGGTGAAAAAACTCGACAAGTGGGTGCCCCACAATTTGAGTGACCGGCAGAAATTGGCACGTCTCGAGGTTTCTTCTTCTTCACTGCTTTTGCGCAACAGAAACGACCCGTTTTTGGACGAATCGTCACCTTGAGAAAAGTGCGATGCATTTATGTTACAATTAGGACGTTCCGGAGAGTGGTTGGGTGTCGACGAACCACCGAGGCAATTTCCAAAGCCGAATCCCCGCGAAAAAAAAGATTATGGTTACAGTGTGGTGGCCATCGGCTGGTGTGGTCCACTATAACCTTTTTGATCACCATAGGCCAAACCATCACAGCAGAACCCTACTGTGAAGGAATCGACGAAATGTACCGAAAATTTTTCAGCTGCAGCCAACACTTATCAAAAGAAAGGGTCCGATTCTTTTGCATGACAACGCCCGCCCACACGTTTCACAAATCACTATCCATAAATTGAACGAATTGGGGGTTGAAGTTCTACCTCAACCGCCATATTCTTCAGACCTTTCGCCACTGCTTCACCTTTTCAAAATTCAGGACTTCCTTGTTGGAAAATACAGTCATTTATGCGGACCAGGCCAAAAAAGCCTTCGTGGATTTCGGTGGGGGGGGGGGGGGGGGGGGCGGTCTCGCACCACCCCAGTTTTTTCTGGGGATGGATTTAATCGACCGTGTCACACGACAAAAGTGTGCTGAATTCGGACGTGCTTATTTTCGATTTGAAAGGCACATGCGTACGCTCAAACACATTGAGGGTTTATGAGACTCAGCTCGCTAGCTGTCGATTCGTGTCGTGGTTTTTCCCCGTCCGGAACTGCCACGGGCATTCAGAGTACGCGGGCCGTGGAGTCTAATCTTTTGACGCCTAAAATGCAAACTTGGCGAGCGCACAACTCCTTTATGCAAGACCGCTCGCGCGGCGCGATGGTCGCGCCGTCGGCTCTCTTGGCTTATTTGCCAGTCCGGTAATTGCGCTTTGAATACAAGCAAAGCGCCAATATTTCCTGATTGCGGAGAAATATGTGGTGTTGTAAGGTGCTCCAACAGTCAATGAAGGTGATGAGATGACAAAGGGACGTAGAAATGAAGACAAGCGAAATACAGCACGTAAATAAAAGAAATATGAAAAAATTAAGGAACGCAAATTAATCAAATCGCGTGTAAATTTCTAAGATCCGGCGCGAATTCGGCTCCAAAGCCATAGAAATACTTTAAACTAACGAGTGGGACGCTTAGGCCGTTTTATTTTCATGTTTCGTGGAAATGCGCGGCCTCCGAGGGATATTGCAGAAGCAGCACAGTTGCTCTTGAGTTCTAGCCCTCGTCATCATCTTCGGTTCTTATTTTGCAGCACCTAAATGTTATCCGCATCAAAATTGCGTTTACTTGTATTCCAAAGCGCAATTACAGGACTTGGCAAAAAGCCAAGAGAGCCGCGCGCGACACGCGCCGCGCGGACGGCTGTTAGCATAAAGGAGTTTGCGCCGCAAGTTGCATTTTGGGCGGTGTAGCAAGGAATTAGACTTTCCCACGGCCCCGTACTCTGACCCCGTGCAGTTTCGGGCGGGGAAACCACGACACATCGACAGCTGGGGGGGGCTGATAGTCTCACACCCTCAATGTGTTTCGAGCGTACCATGTTTCTTTAAATCCGATGAGTATTAAGAAAGTTATGATCGTTTAAAGTGAAACACTCAAAACGCTGAGAACTTTCCGGACAACCTAATATGTTATGTTGTGTAACTTTTCAATAGATAGACATAATATTCATTAAGCTCATATTTACAATGCCACACGAGTACAACAATAAAATGACGAAAAATTCTTAAAGTTTCAATTGAGATGCGCTGGATGTGCTGGTGATTGCTGGATTACAGTTGTCAGTGGAATGGCAGATCTAAGACTGGAGTGCTAAACCACCTAATAGGCGTCTCATTCCCAGAGTTTCTGATAGTTTGAAAAAAGATACTTTACATTGGCTTGAAAGCATAGCAAGTGATATCTTCGTTGGATGCTTGGCAGAAGGTGTCAGTGTAGGCAATGTAGGTAAAATCTCCATTAGCGCAGATCACGTTGAATTTGCCGAACAGCTTCTCTTCGGCCGCTTTTTGAATGGCACGTTTTGAAATAGTCGGATCGGTGGTCATGTTCTGAAAAACTCAGTGAAATCGGAAAATACATATGCCTTTTACTTGGTATTGAAGGAAATCGGTTGCCTTTGTTTGAATTATAACTGAAAGCGTAATGTGCATCCGAGTCGGAAGAAATAGCCTGCCAGTTTCAAAGGAGTTCGATGTCGGTCCCATTGGCAAAGTCAGTTCTACCATTGAGCCTTTCTCACTGAGACGCTTCTTCTTTCTACTATGGTAGCTAAGAAGTTGGTGGCGCCAGTGAGGAAAGCACAATGGCGGATCTGCTCCCAGTATTTGATGGGCGTGGAAACCCTCTGAAGGCGCAGCTCAGCTCGATTTGCGAACTAGTGGAACTCAGTGAGGAATGTGCAGCTAAAGCTCTTAAGAACAAATGACTCACTTGCTCACTCTGCGGTATCACAAGTGTTCATCGGTCTCATAAAAATGAGGCCTGATAGTTAAAATGAACTGGCAAAAGAAACTTGCAAGTGCGAAATGCTCCCTTTTCCCCCCTCCCCCTTTTCCTTGGGCTGAACAGCGTCTCTTCGAATGTGTGAATGCTTTCCTAGGATAGCTCTATGCATATTTTTTGTCCCAAGCAGCTCATCAGTGCAAATTCAGCCGTCATTTTAATTTTACCTTCGAGATTGGTTCTTTCACGGTTCACGGTCAGAATCGGGAACCAAAAGCTAAAGAGAGCGCAATGGGCATCCTACAAATGATAGGTTGGTTGATAGGATGAGATTGGCACTAGTGGTGCCAGAGCAAGGGCACGCCGTCGTTGTAATGATCACAACGGGGGGTCGTATTTGACAGCGAGGGAGGGGTGGGGTCGTGTTTGGTCGTTGTTGGGAGAAGGACTGCCAAAGGCCTATACAATCTACTATCTCCGGTAGTTGAAATGATTAGTCGTCCCTCCCCCACGCATTGCTCAGAGAGCCAAAATTTTGGGGAAAAGCCAGAAACTTTTCGGGAAATTTTGGATTAAGGAGATTCTGAAAAATTTTCCTGTTTCACATCGCGTACATACCCTTCCTTCCCTCCTCCCTTTCTCGATAGCAAAATTTTGGCAAAAAAATAGGGGGTCGCATTTTTCAGGAAATGATCACAACGCGATGGCGTGCCCTTTTCCAGAGCTCACAGCCGCAAGGCGCACCAAATCGAAAGATGTAGTGCGGTAGGCTCATGTTTCAGCGACACACGGAAACAGTAGGATATTCCACAGGCATTTGTCTCGACATACTGCAATTCTTCCACGTCGAATCGAATATGGTTCTGATGCGAATGTTGCCTGCTTGCCACAGTGCCTTCGCCACATTCACAACTTGTATTCCTCACAGCGCGCCGCAAGCGGTTCGGTTCCACTGAGCCTTGTTATTCATCAAAAGTAGCTGAATCTCAGAAACGTCCTGCTCTGAAATTCGAGGGTCAGGGTTTCTCCATGTCAATCGATTCGGGTAATCCTCTGATACATATGGAGATCTCAGATGGCCGGGTTGATTTCACGGCTCAGGTGGAATGTTGGAAACTGTCAAAAAAAATTAGCCATTCTGAAGCAGGGAAGGATAATGAATGGGACCGCTGAGGATGAATGTGGTCAGCGGCTCGGACGCAGAGAGAATGAGACTTTTGATAAGTCTCCGTTGAAATGTTACATAACAAAATGTATTCCATTAGTGATTTTTGCTGAGGAGTGCTATTGTGTGAAGGCCTACAACTGGGGATGAAACACGTCGATGGGAAATACTCATCGGCTTCACTCATAGCTGAGCGCTCCCTAACCCAGACGAAAGTCGTGAGATGAGGGATTAGACACCCTGCCTCGGCTCATGTCTCTGGCACGCGGTACCCATTGAAACAACAAACTCGTTTTGAAGGCTATGATCGCAAGTGTTTGGGCCCTGGACGCGCTGCCTATATGGAAATGTATACACGTTTTAGCCAATGTTTGTGCAGCGCTTTCACTGTTTCAGAAGGGCTTGTGTCTGGATACTTGGTCTCGGTCGGACGGAAGACTTGGTTTGCCCATACCGAGAGGACCTGTACTGGAGCGAAGCAACTAGCTCTCTATGCTTGCAAAGGCAGAAGACCTAGTGAAACACACCCCGATAAGCCGGCTCAGACTTAGGAGTCAGGTCAGGTCAACAACCCAAAATTAACCTAGTAAGGCACAAGTCGCACATTGAAGCTGACAGTTTCATACCAGACACGGCTATATTGAAGGTATCATTTGGACCGATTACATATACTCGTGAAGAAAATCATATAACTGGCCAACGAACAGGCTTCCCTAACATCACGAGAGTACGTTTTACTTATATGAGCTTTTTTGTGAAACGTAGGAGCTTTCGTATTTGTTAGAGGCAGGGTCCACGTTCGCTGAATGGGTGGGGTCAGGCTGTTACGTTGTGACCTCGTTATTGCTACATCTCTTGTTTTGAGGACGGTGAAAAAAGGAGAATGCCCATGAGAAAGACACAACTACTTCTTCCTCTCCCCACACGACCATTTCTATATTTACCTCTTTGGACCCTATAATATGCTACCTTCTTCTCGTTCATTTGGGCAATGGCTAAGGGTTGCGGTTTATGAAAAAGCCTCGTCCGTAGATCGTTTTTTTACACCCTCAGTGATTTCAGCCACGTAGCGTGGCGTAAATCGACGACTGTGGAAAATTTGTGCTGATTTCATGGAAGGAATCGATGCGTTATCTTTTTATGGCTGCAACTTTCGAAACGACGGCGTGACCTTTTGTTTAGTGTAAAGGTCACCAGTTCAATTTTCATAGCCAATCGTCTTGTTTTCACAAGTTGTCATTCGATAACTTCCAAACTATGACTTGAAAAACACCGAGGTAAAAAGAGCTCAACAACTCTCAATCTTTTAGGGTGTGCTAGGAATCGACTACTTTATAGTTATGAAGGCTTAGAATACATGTAGAGTCCATACGATAACCTTTGAGCTAAGCCATTGTTCCTGTTGCCTTTTTCTCCTACTAGAGAAGCTGGACACTTCTCGCCGGACAGAGATCGCTCTTTAGCAGCTTGATCTTACGAGCGATCTAGATACACCCATGGCGCATCTATCCACTCCGCCATGCCAGCAGTGTGCCATAAGACCATAAAAAACAGATGTCAGCAGCGGGTCTATCAGATGTTATTGGTCTATCACATGAACTATATTTTGTCGGATTCTCCATTGCAAGTATCCAACTCCCTGCCGAGTAGGGCAGGAAATGTGCTGAGTTAGGTCTCCACGAATGTTTCATAAGCAGCTGAGACCAAACGGTAGAAGAGAGCCGAAAATCCAGAAGAAAGGCAGGACAGGAGTCCAAATCGAATGTTCCTACTAAGGACGAAGGAATGTTATCGAATAGGGAGCAGGGTTTACTCTTAAGGTGCACATTACGTTCGAAAGTCTGCTACCCGGGATCAAGTGTAACGCGCAGCTGCACCCCAGCCAAACCACTGGCAGGAGTGTTTCGCACTTATCCTTGAATTATATGAATCACATGAAGACCCACCATAAAAGGTTTTGAAGAGGTTTGGCATTGCGGGGACCTTTCTTTACGCGCCATCGGTTTCCCGACGACAGACCTCGACGGGGGTGGATTTCTCTCCCACACGCTTTTCAGCTCTTTCTCGCTTCTCAATATTTGTCGGGTGTTCAGGGTCATCAACAAGCTGGTTTCGTAGAAATTGAAGGCGATCGTTGCGCAATCAGTCGCAGATCATTGTGTTGTAAAAAACCTACGAATTTGATGGTTGTGCGAGATAAACCGGTAAAACTCACGTCTTCAATGATCATTTTCAATTTCTTGCTGTTACAGGTGGCTTCCATCTCCTCTTCAAGTGAGTCGGCAGCGAAAATCTGCAAGACAAGAGCTAACGGAAGGCAGTGCCGAGAACATTGTAGCTAGAGCAGTACCTTGGAACCGTGGGTTCGGTGTCTGTGTCTGAATCGGCATGGTACACCACATCGACAGCAGCAATCAACGGCTGGTGCAGCAACGTACTGAATCAAAATAAATAGTGAATTAATACCTAAAACAAGAGATACCAAAAATAATCTCACAGGCTGGAAGACTGGTGCTGGAGCGTAGCTCTGGCATGGTGCCGGATAGGATGGCATCGGAGGAGGACACATTGGGGGAGGTGGTGGTGGCGGAGGAGGAGGACATATTGGCGGTGGAGGACAAAATTGTGGTGGACAGATTGGCGGAGGAGGACATGGAAGTGGTGGTGGAGGCGGTGGAGCACAAGCAGGAGGTGGACATGGTGGTGGCATGTAGGAGCAGCATCCACCTGAAAAATTACAATTTTTGAAGAATATGAGGCGATCTTTCGGGAGGAGGTGGTCTGAAATTTTGTAAGCAGGATACATCTTCTGCCCCATGTATAACCCTTCAAACTGTTGATTATTCTCACTTCATGCGCGCTATATGCTATTGTTCGGTGCCAAAACAAACTACTACATGAGCCCTACCCCACACCACACCAGCCGCTCCAAAGTCTGGGCAAAAGTTGGGGAGGCTCTAAAAGGGAGTCATGTTGTAGGAGAAAATTTGAAAGGTTGCTTTTAGCAGAACCTTTCTCGGTGAAATGCCCTGATTGCAAGACTTCCTCGCTAATGTTACCCTCAAAGGAAACTTTGATTTCGGAAAAGTTTTCCTCAGTCTCAAGGGCTTTTCCAGACTCTTTGCATAACTTTTCCTGTTACTACAACAGTTCGGAGTAGCTATCGGAGTCAGCCTGTCATAGAGTGGAAAAGGAGGCGTATAAGATCCATTAGCTGTAAGCATAGATGGAATCAATTGCAAAGTCGTCATTTGTAGATCAGATAATGCGAGCGTCTAGAGGACGACAGTGGAATCCTGTCACTAACCAGAATTACTTGCACCCACCTAATGTCTTACTGTACCAATCAACTTGTTCCTCAATACAGTATACCTACCACAAAACTGCGAGTTTGATCAAAAACAGGATTTATCAAAAAATAACAATAAGGATAATCGCATATACGTACCGAATGTGGCTGCCGTGGCGGGAATAAAGGCTAAGGTCGCTAAGAGATAAAGCATCTTCCGTGTTGTGTTGATGCCGTCCGCGCCTACGTCTTCACGGCCTTATAAATGCGCGGCAGCGAAAGACAGGTTCCGGTGGAACTGAGTCACTCCTTCTCGCCGTTGTTGCCGCGCGACACTCGAACCCACCCAGAAAAGGTCATTGAATCGTGATCTGGAAGCTGCTGCAAGAGTGTCTATGATCCGCTCGGCTTTTCCGAAAACAGGAAGGTGAGGGCGCACAAGGGAAACCCTAGAGGCTTCCTGGGGAGCCAAATCCTCGGAGGGCCAATGAAAGTGGGATCCGGTCTTGAGGATACTTCACGTCGCTATGAGTCCTATGGAATTCCTATGAGCCATGTTTGATGAGGTGCACTAAGGGCAGTCTACTGCTTCTTGTATTAGAGAGATATGTGCCTTTTTCTTTTGTTTTATATTGAATACGATCAAATTGGCTCGTACTATTACCTTTCCACAGCTGTAATCCAGTTACTCAGCTATTATTTTTTGAAGGATAAGCCTCCACAGCCGATCTTTTTTGGGATGTGGGACTCATTCTAACTCTGCTACTCGAAACGCGCTTAGACCTACGTAACGGCATGCGAGGGCAGCCGATGTTAGCTCAGTATTTTATTCTTCCAAACGAGTAGATAGTAATTTGTTGGTCCTCAGAGGGAATGATGAGCTCGGGTGATCCGGTTGGGAGCCGCTTCGAAATCCAAACCCCAGACCACGCGCGTGGAATGTGACGCCTTTTCCCACTACATCACATTCGTCCAGTCGAATCTATATATTTCTTTATATCGTAATAAAAACTTGGCGTGAAGAGCTACAAGTCGAGTTAAGAAAAAGTAGTCTTTTACGTTCATTGAGCGTAAAAGATGGAGAAGGCCCAGTGGCTAACCAAAAACACTTAGCCATTGAATGTATGTACAGATTAAGAAACCTCTGTGACCCCTCCACTGACAACCTCTCCAAAATCTATTGGAAAGGGTACCGGTATGAAAAAGTTATGCATGAGTTGATTATCGCAGGCATGGATTCAATGTTTTTTTTCATGAGATTTTTTTCTTCTCCCTATTTTCTGTCCTTAATTGGACTTACTTGCGATTCTTCCATTGCTGTTGAGCATTTCAGTTGAGCAGTTTTTCCACTGTTGACAATTTTTCGCGGTTCCATCGCCTTCGCCTCCAGAAACAGATACAGAAATTCTTTACTCTAGTCGCTGTCCATTTGGCTCCTGGGCAATCCAGTATACCAGACTACTTCTGGAACTCTATATTGTGGCACACGCGAATTGTGGCCAGCCAGTGTGCGCGAATGTGCAAAGTTATCACAACACTTCCACTGCCGAGAAGAGGGATCGTGACTGAGTGTAAATCTGGCTTTATGCCGATTTACGAAGAGGAATATGATGATAGTTTCTTGGGAAAATTAAAAATCTGTGTTGATTGACCATTGCATCGAAGACCAAAAATCAGAAACAGTTCTCGACTTCACTTAGCCGTTTGAAGACAGTCTTGGCAAGTGCGAGTGCACTATTCCTGGGCTGCTTTTACAATACAATCAATTCACGAAGTGTAATTCTTTTGCTATTCTCGTCATCATGGTTCTCCCAAGATGCACTTCGCGCACTTCAACTTGAAGGCATATAGCAGGATAATTCGGTACCCAGTCTGAAATGCTAGCACGGTGCTATATAATGGGAACATGGCGAAAAATGAAGTGAAGCGGTCATAAACCTGCAAAAAGACCTTCTTTTTACATGTCGCAGGAAACAATTTCGGACAAGTTTTCCGTTGACATCGTGCCAGTGACTATTACGGTAGGTATGGCTGCACGTAGGTACTCAGATATCCATGCAGCGCTTCATGCTGTACTTCGCAAATGAAGCGATACGACACCTGTCGGATACCAGTGGGCGGACGCGCGGTGGGCGTCCAGGCCGGCAAGTTGCAGCTTGATAGGGCGCTATGAGGGTACCATTCTTGAATAAGGCGCCACGCAGCGCATGCTCGAGGGCGCGGAAATGGTCCTGCTGGGCGTATTTACCGTACATGTCTTGGGGATCTATCGTGGGTGTAGGTTAGGACTCCACGAGAGGTCACGGCTGCCATGTTTCGCCTCGCCGCGCGCGGCGATTGCTGCCGTGATTGGACGAGACCCATACAGTCGTGCGATTAAGATCCCGGTCCCTTCACATAGTTCTGGCATCACGCAAATCTGCTTGGCATTTTGCCAAACCAGCAATATTGCGGAGTGCAAACGCCGCGCACATAGCGAAAACTGCCGCGGCGCGGCGGCAGGCTGACCTCTCGTGGAGCCTCTTACCCTTGTATGAGACTTTACTCTTGGTACTGTAGTGTCTGTAATACGTGGTGGGTAGGGAGAAGTAACGCATGCCATACAGTCATGATCCCTGCAAACGATGGAGCGTGCGACGCGCTACGAATTGCAGCGCAGCCATCGCGCCATTTTACCCACCAATGAT